TCTTTCTCCCCGGTAACAGCATCTTTCTCCCTGGTAACAGCATCTTTCTCCCCGGTAACAGCATCTTTCTCCCCGGTAACAGCATCTTTCTCCCTGGTAACAGCATCTTTCTCCCTGGTAACAGCATCTTTCTCCCCGGTAACAGCATCTATTCTCCCCGGTAACAGATCTTTCTCCCCGTAACAGCATCTTTCTCCCCGGTAACAGCATCTTTCTCCCTGGTAACAGCATCTTTCTCCCGGTAACAGCATCTTTCTCCCAGGTAACAGTATAGAGAACATAACCAAGGCCTTCTCATTATACAACGTAAGAGTAACTACTGGATAGTGAACACCCCCACCATCAGAAACTCAACCAAGATCACAGCAAGTCTCCCAAGCAGTAAAACCAGTGTTTACATTTTTCCGTGTGAGTGTTGCTAGAAAATATATATTGGTGAAACCTCAAGGAATTTGGAAACGCATATTAGACATAAATATGCTTAGAAAAAAGACACAGCATGCAAATACTTCAGCATTTTCTTGGAAAGGTTTCGATAACATAAACACGTGTGTGATTCACCGTAGCTCTTTGGGTCATCTTATGAGATGACCCAAAGAGCTAATGATGCAAGAACAGTTATCAGGCAGACAGTTGTTCAGAGGAGGAAGTGTCTACAAGTGTCCCTCTTCGCAATTTAAGAAACAGTCTCCCAAAATAGTGGTAGCTTTTACATTTCCAAAGTGTTATTAAGAATAGTCATGAAACCTGACAACTGGGCCATCACTTCAATTTTTGTTATATATGGTTAATACCGTGTACAGTTCTATTGTTAAATCTGTACCAAAATCTTTTCCTGTATAAGTCTATTCGTTGTTGTAAACTGTAAACTAAGACCTTGCCCATATACCCTCAGTTATTTATATATATATGTCGTGCCGAATAGGTAATACTTGCGATTTTGGCTTAAATAGCAACTCTCTTCTTGCTGTATAAGACAAGCGAAAATTTGTATTTGCAATAATTTTGCAAAAATTATTCTGAACCTAACGAAAAAAATATATTTCGTTGTGTTTGTTTATTATGAAATTATTGTAAACATGTCTAAAATGTATTTAGTTGGATTAGGTAGTGTGTACACGTTTATGTGTACACACTCATCTGAGTTTTCTTTGATATTATCTTAATAGTTCTTGTTCTTATTGCTTTTCCTTTCATATCCATGGGGAAGTGGGATAAGAATCTTTCCTCCGTAAGCCATGCGTGTTGTAAAAGTCAACTAAAATCCGGGAACAATGAGCTAGTAACCCTTTTTCCTGTATAGCTTATTAAATACTTTTTATTACGAGTAGGGGGAAGGTACGTGAGTCATTACGTTAAATGAAAGGGGGTAAAGCAGCTGAAACTTACGGGATCATAACAGAAATGTTAAAAGCAGGGAGCGATATAGTGTTGGAGTGGTTGGTATTTTTGTTTAATAAATGTGTGAAAGAGGGGAAGGTACCTAGGGATTGGCAGAGAGCGTGTATAGTTCCTCTATATAGAGGGAATGGGGACAAAAGAGATTGTAAAAATTGTAGAGGAATAAGTTTACTGAGTATACCAGGTAAAGTGTACGGTAGGGTTATTATTGAAAGAATTAGAGGTAAGATAGAGTAGGATTGCAGATGAGCAAGGAGGTTTTAGAGTGGCTAGGGGATGTGTAGATCAAGTGTTTACATTGAAGTGTATATGTGAACAGTATTTAGATAAAGGTAGGGAAGTTTTCATTGCATTTATGAATTTAGAAAAGGCATATGACAGAGTGGATAGGGAAGCAATGTGGCAGATGTTGAAAGTATATAAAATAGGTGGTAAGTTACTAAATGCTGTAAAGAGTATTTTTGAGGATAGTGAGGCTCAGGTTAGGGTGTGTAGAAGAGAGGGAGACTACTTCCCGGTAAAAGTAGGTCTTAGACAGGGATGTGTAATGTCACCATGGTTGTTTAATATATTTATAGATGGGGTTGTGAAAGAAGTAAATGCTAGGGTGTTGGGGAGAGGGGTGGGATTAAATTATGGGGAATCAAATACAACTGAAGCAGTTGCTTCCTTTCAACATTGCTCCTGATGATGCACTGAGAAGTGTGTAAGTACCTGAGCTAAAGATTTCCACTCCCCCCCTCCCGTGGCTTGTATTACATAGTTAAGATCGCCTGTCTGATCTTTTGGCAAGGAGACTCGAACTACGAACTTGGAACAAGGTATGCAGTGCTTACCTTTTTCCCACGTGACAATCCTTGGTCAGCTTGCGCTAGACGTTTGATCCAAGGCACCAGCTTCAGGGAGAAGGCTGAAGCTTTTTATTCCCCCTGTATTTCATCGCCTTACTAGAGATTTTAACAATGCAAGGAATTCGCAAAGTAGAGGGGAATATACACAAACACGATCTATTATACTAATACTATAATCATAATATAAATATATATATATATAGTATATTCAATATAATATATATTATATATATATATAATTTATGATATATATTATATATTATGTATTATATATATATGGCAACCTGCCATCTTCTCATGGTTTTAGTTTAATTCGGATACAGATCACTATTATTATCTTTATATTAAAATAAGTGAAATACAGTATGGGCTATAGACAATAACATGTAAGTTTTCAAGAAAATATCTAATTATATCCTTCACATGGTTGCATATATACCTTTCTGATGTTAAGTAAATAATTGGATGGTTAAAATCTATTACATGAAATAAATAAGCAGGAAATCTTGCCAGGGTTCTTAATTTTCTATATTTCGTTGGGGTTTTAAATCTTAGAACACAAGTTTATCACCAGTTTGGCACCGTGAATGGTATAAAAGTATACCACAAGCGGTAACCACAAGGGCTATAACGCTGATTTGACTAAATTATACACTTTATGCATAATTTTCAAGGAATTTATAGACAATCCATCATCATTTTCGGATTTCGGGGAATTAATTTATAAAGTTTTTTTGTTTACAGAACAAGGCTGTGTTTAAATACAATTTAATTTAAAAGTTCTTGGAGAAGAGAAGATGATTTAAAAATTTTTGGTAAGGAAAGACCACAGATTTCAGTTGAGTAAAGCTTGGTTATTCGCTTTTTGGATTGTAAAAAGTATTTCTAGCACTTTTGAAAGAAATTTTATCCAATTAGGATTACTTGGGTATATCTGAGAAACAACACTCTATTTAACAATAAAATTTTGGTATTTTATTATGAAAATCGGACTACACATTCTTTTAAAGTCTAAAAATTGATGAAATACAGAAAGTTTGAGGTTATCTTGTGGAGGAATTGTTCCATATAGGAACAAGTTATTTGTAGTTCTGTAAATATTAAAATTTGTGATGGCATGATTACCCTTAATTTTATTTAAAACTTCTAGAAAAGGCCCACTGAGTTAAGCGATCTTTCAAATAAAGTACAACTGTTATAGTGTTTAAAAGCTATTTAATTTTCCAATAATGTTACACTTCTTTTTACAAATTAGACTTTTAAAATTGGTCAAAAATTAACCTTTAGCTTTTGTTAGGTAGAATATTTTTAAGCATAACCTAGTTTCAAAAAATTTCATGTATAGGATTACTAAGAACAGGAATAGAAAGAGGATATCCATTGCCTTAGCCAAACTTCTGGAGTGTTAAACTTATCATTAATACAAATTTTGCATCATCAATGCAAGTTTAATAAGTTTAATGCATAGTAAGGAAACTGGCAATGGTAAATCATAGTTAACGTAGTACCTTAGTATAAGAGAACTTAATAATCATCACAGGAACTTTCGTAAACAAGGAAGTAACATCAAACAACTATTTAAAATCATTTAAGTCAGTCAAAAGCTTTAATTATCAACCAAGTTTTTATGTTGTTTTAACATTAAAGTTAGAAATTTTGCCAACAATAGGGCCCCAAATATCAACAAGCCATTTGGATAATTTATATGAAACTGACCCTATGGAGCTAATAATTGGTCTGACTGGATTCCCTGGTTTGTGTGTTTTTATTAGTCCATACATGTAAGGTAAAGATGGATTAGTGGAAGTAAATTGTTTGACTAATTCATCTTTGCCTTTCAGTAGAAGTTTTATTGTTTTATTGAAATTGCTGTTAACGGTTTCTAGGAGATTTTTCCGAAGTTTAGAATAGGTTTCAGTATCATCTAAGAGATTATTCATTTTTTCTTGGTAATCATTTTCTTTCATAATTACTATTGCAATTTCAATAAAACAATAAAACTTCTACTGAAAGGCAAAGATGAATTAGTCAAACAATTAAAATAAGTGCTAAATACGTATGGGTCATACGACAATAGATCATGTAAAGTTTTCAAGAAAATATCTAATTTTCCTTATCTTCAACATAGTGTACATATATCCTGTGCTTGATGTTAAGTAATATATTACTGTGCTTGATGTTAAGTAATATATTACTGTGCTTGATGTTAAGTAATATATTACTGTGCTTGATGTTAAGTAATATATTACTGTGCTTGATGTTAAGTAATATATTATTGTGCTTGATGTTAAGTAATATATTACTGTGCTTGATGTTAAGTAATATATTACTGTGCTTGATGTTAAGTAATATATTACTGTGCTTGATGGTAAGTAATATATTACTGTGCTTGATGTTAAGTAATATATTACTTTGAAAGTATATCACGTAACAGCAGGAGAGAACAGTTGAAGGTTGACTGTAATTGTCTATATTTCCGTTGAAGGAAATTATCACTGAAAACACATTGAGAACACAACGTGGTGAGCACGTCAGTTTGGCACACGTGAAGTGGTATACCACAAGTGGTATACCACAAGTGGTATAACACAAGTGGTATACCCTCTTGTGACTCAAGAGTGGTATACCACTCTTGTATTGCATCACTTTATTTTCTGAAATTTATTAGACTAAAACTAAATCAAATATTTTCGACATTTTCAGGGGTAAATAAATATTAATGATATTGATCATTTATTGTGTTGACAGACGAGCAGCGGCTGTGTTACAAGTGCCGAGCCAAGGAGAGGTGTCTGGGGCTAGACAAGTCCTCCTTGGAGAAGTGTAACCCAGATGTTAAGTTCTGCGTGAAGAAACAGACGTTCAGCAGAGTCACGGGTGAGAAATAGCTATAGATGATTATTAGGTTTAAAGCCTATCAACTATGTAATTGACAGTCATGCTGCATATCACTTGTTCGCTGCCAGTCAACAATGTTTTAATACGTAAGATAGTTAGTTTAGTTTAATATGTTTATTATGCACCCCATACCCATCCTGTGGGCGGTAGTCAAAAGATTACAGAGGTACATAATTGGTCCAGGGACTGGACTCCAAAGTTTTGATAGCTGAGCAAGTTACAGAGGTAATGAACTCACAATTTACAAAGGTAATGAACTCACAATTTACAAAGGTAATGAACTCACAATTTACAAAGGTAATGAACTCCAGGTAAGTCTGGTCACAATCATGACAAGTTACAAAGGTATTTACAGATTACAGAGGTACGTAATGGGTCCAGGGACTGGGCCCCCAAAGTTTTGATAGCTGAACTAGGTACAAAGGTAATGAGCTCACAAGTTACAAAGGTAATGAATTCTGTAGAATGGTTACTTACGTTTATACTTTGGCTACAATCATGAACAAATTATAGAGTAATGAGCAATTCACACTTCCACACCCGGTCACAACTGTAATGAGTTATTGGTGCAAATATTGATTGTTGAGTCACACACACCACACACACACACACACACACACACACACACACACACACACACACACACACACACACACACACACACACACACACACACACACACACACACACACACACACACACACAACTTTAGTTTAATATCTTTATGCACCCCATACCCATCCTGTGGGCGGTAGTCAAAAGATTACAAAGGTACATAATGGGTCCAGTGACTGGACCCCAAAGTTATGATAGCTGAACTAGTTACAAAGGTAATGAACTCCAGGTAGATCTGGTCACTAATCATGGCAAGTTACAGAGGTAATGAATCAGCTTCACTCCTATACATGGTTACAGTCCAGGGATCAAACTCTGTGTATATACTGAGAAACACACACACCTCTCTGTGTTTACAATCTGAATCTTGTTGTAAAGTTGGTCATATTTATACCGTTTATGCTTCTGTTAGCGCTCAGTAATATTACTATAATACTAATGTTAGTGGAAACATAAACACACTCAAACATATATATACAGTGTCTAATAAAACTGTACTAATGATTTTTACGAAAACTAACGATTCAAGGGAAGTCCTTTGTCGCGGTGAAGAGCTCTTGGTCCAAGGAGTTGGACCTCTTGCCCTCTTCATCTGATTTAATCTAAATTCTCCTCTTCCGTCTCTTTCTTTTTTCTCCATCTGGCCTTATCAGTGGTATAATTTTCTCTTGTGAAATTCATCTCATAGGCGGAATTAAAATGGTTCAGTATCAGCCACTGTTGTGACACAACTGTGGTTAGTAGTGATGTTGTGGTCATGTCACTCCACCAGATTGGAACTGGATTATCTGGGGATGTGCTACATGACCCTCCGGTGACACATGACGACTGTCATGGTGGCCTTTAGTGATAGAAGTATTACTCGTAGTTGCCTGGAAATTCAAGAGTTGCAACCAGAGATGTATAGCTCCTGCCGTTTCCAGTTGTCCGCCACTATTAGTGATTTAACGTCAGTTGCACTTTAGTACCATAGTCTAATCAGGCAATTTCATTAAGGCTAACTCAGTGAGTTCCGGAGGTGACATCTTTGTGTTGGTTCAACACCTGATAGGATAGAGGACCTCTTTTGCAGGTAGCATCAGCACTGACCATGGTGATGAAGGTGATAGTGGTTAAGGGTGGGTACATGGTTTATTTTCATTTATCCTCGGTGCTGATCCTATTCTTCTTGCTTAATGTTTGATGACAGAGAAAGTTATTCTTCTGGATCTCAAGTGAGGGTAAAATCTTTAACCGATCTTGGCATACCCATGACCCCTTCTCATGACATACCCATGACCCCTCCTTATGACATACCCATGACCCCTAAGGACATACCCATGACCCCTCCTTATGACATACCCATGACCCCTCCTTATGACATACCCATGACCCCTCCTTATGACATACCCATGACCCCTCCTCATGACATACCCATGATATATGACAAGATGGTGGAAAAGCGCCAAGATGTGTGCATGCTTGTTAACCCTGGTTTAGAAGCACGAATGAGGGACGTATCCAAATATTACACTTGGGTAAAGTTACAAAATGTCCCATTTAAGGCGGATGAAGAAGACATAAAAGCAACGTTCGAAGAGTATGATGTCATACATCAAGCAACAGTTGGACGGTGGTCTGAGGGTATGTATGCGGGGCTGCGTGAGGGCTACTTTACCCTTAAGATGTCATATGTGGCATTGAGTGACTTCAGAACTCAGGTATATGTCACATATGCAGGGCAGAGAAGAACCTGTAGACTGTGTCTACAGGTGTCCTCATCGATCGTCACCTGAGACACATGGAGAAGGGAAAGGAGTGGAGAAGGAGAGAGAGGTGACGACCAAATCTACAGGGAAGCATCTTCGGGCTCGTAGGACATGGAGTGAAATCGTGGAGAACAATCCAGTGGAATGTGTTACATTACCGGAGGTCTCTCAGGTTATTAAGACCATGCATATGGAGGATGAGGTGGGACAAGTGGAATTGGGTAATGAAGTTTCGGCTGCAATAAACACTGTTATACAAGAATTCCTGGATGATCAGAATGAGGACAGGACACTAAGCATGGTATCGGATGGGAAATCTGTAGATACGGGTGGAATTCATGAGGAGGGTAACGTGGGTGGTGGGGATGGGCAACCACAGAGGATTTATGAGGCTGTGGTTGAAGTGCATAAGGTTGAAAGGGCAGATGAGGGCATGCACATAGTTGAGGCATCACGGAAGAGAGAGGCAGGTGCTTCTGATAGTGATGATGTCCTTACACCTGCACAAAGATCTGGTAAGAAACACTCAGTGGATGTGCCAAGAAAAGTCTCGGGGGGGAAGGGCAGGGAAAAGGTGAGGCTAGGAAAGGACAGTGTGAAAAGTATACTGTGCAAAAGCGTAAAGACACGCATGGGCATCGGTCGATTGGTAAGCCCCGATAGCATTTTTAAGTGCCTAACATTAAATGTGAATGGCCTAAGACCCGATGTAAAGCACAGGATATTTAGTGACTTTTTAAGGAGATATGGAATACAGGTCATATTTTTACAAGGGCATAATTTTAAGTATGGAAGGGATTTGTTGGTGGATGGGTATAAAGTTTATGCAGGGTATACAGGGAAGCTCAAGGGAGGTGCTGCTGTATTAATAACGGAGGCCAGTCCTTTTCAAATGTTACACTGGGAAGAAGGGGGGATGGGAGAGTAGTGAGGGTGGATGGGACATGGGGTGGGGTACATGTGTGTTTTGTGAGTGTATATATGCCATCGGACAGCAATAGGCATGTTAAAGAGGATTTTGAACAGGACATTCTAATTTATGACATGCGGGGGTTACCTGTTTATTCATTATTTGGACAGGATTGGAATAGTGTGGTACGTAGGAAGGATGTGGAGCCGAGAGGTGTGTTGGGGGTTCTACGGGATGTTTTAGGGGGAGCTGGCTTAGTGGACGTAGTGAGGAGGGAGGGGTGGAACGTGGAGCATACCTATGTGTAGAGGGGATATGCAGCACGATTAGATTGTATTTATGCTTCTCCGGGGATACAGGTTGCTAACACGGAAATTATGAATGTTGTGTTTTCAGATCATAGAGGGGTAGTAGTGGAAGTGGGGTGGAGTGGTTTACCAAAGCGTTACATGAGTTATTGGAAGCTTAATGTGAGTTTGTTAGAGGAGTTGGAGGATGATGTTAGTTTTGTTGAGTGGTGGATAAATGAGTGGTCCAAAAGGAGGAAGGGAAGTGATATACTACGATGGTGGGAGGAATATGCTAAACCAGGAATCCGAAGTTTTTATATGAGGAAAGGAAGGGAGGTAAGTCGATGGAAATATGGGTTACAGAGGTATTTGGAAGGGCAGTTGAAGCAATGTTATGAAGGCTTTAGTGGGGTATATCCGGTTCAAGAGATTGAGGGCATTAAAGTGCAATTGATGGAAATGCAGAATGCAAGATTTGATGGTGAGAGATTGAGAGGTGGGTTGGAGGATGTTTTATGGGGAGGTAAGCCATCCGCCTGTGTATTGCGGCACTTAAAGATACGGCAAAGGATTATGACTATGATGAAGCTGGACGTACATAAGGATGTGGGAGGGTATAAGGTTGGACAGAGGTTAGTAATGACGGAAGGTACGAGTGGTTTTGCTGATAAGTGGTTTGAGTTATATATGAGAGGGGGAAAAAGAAAGATGGGGGACCTGAAGATTTTCAAGAAGGACCCTGAAGTCAGCAGACAGAGTGGTGATAGAGGGGTCCATAGATGAAGAGGAAGTGTGGATGGCATTAAAGGGGATGAGTGTCGGGAAAACACCTAGGATAGATGGAATTCCAAATTATTTTTATTTGAGCAACTGGGAGGTCATGAAGGAATTCTTGGTGCAGTTGGTGAATGAGATGAAGGATAAGGGAAGTATGAGTATGACGCAAAGAACAGGGGTTGTTTGTCATTATGGTTCCAAAGAGAGAAGTACAGAGTAGCATCCTAGATTATAGAGGTTTGCCATTAATGTGCAGGGATTATAAATTGTTTGCCAAGGTTTTAGGTAATAGGTTGTGTAGAGTTATCAGGAAGGTTATAGATACGGGACAGATGAGTGTGCCAGGGTGAACAACGTTTAGTGGGCATGGGAGGATAAAGGGCTATATAGAGGATCGTAGGATGGGCAGCGGAGATGTTCTTGCTTTGGATTGGAAGGCAGCTTATGATTGTGTAAAGAGAGACATTAGGGATGATTATGAGGCGGATTGGTTTTGGTGAAGAAATTGTGCGGTGGGCAGAAACTTTATACAGAGGTGCAGAAACACGAGTGCAAATGACTGTGAGGGTGGGGAAGATAGATAATATGGGTAGGAGGCTGAGACAGGGATGCCCCATGTCTCAGATCCTATTTGCATGTCTGCAAGACCCTTTATATAGGATGATTAATGTAGGGGTGGGTGAAGGGGGGGTATGGCATAGGGGTGCTCGGGTATAGTGGGTTATGTCGTTGACACGAGTCTTAGTGGGGGGAGAGGAGGGGTTGAAGAGTGTAGGCAGAATCGTCCAGATATTTAGTGGAGCGACAAGTATGTGTGTTAATGGTGAAAAGTCGAAATTACTGGAGGTTGGTTCATGGGTGGGAGGGGAATTGGGGAATAAGTATGGATGGCAGGTGGTAGAGCAGGTAAAAATTTGTGGCGTTTTATACAGAGGGGCAACACAGGGGGCTAGAGAAGCAAATTAAGAAAGGGTAGTGCAAGGGGCTTTGCAAAAGTTGGGGGAAATAAGATCGAGTGGGTTGACAGTACAACAGAGATTCACTGTGGTCAACATATTCATTTATCCTAAATTGTGGCATGTGGCAGTGGTGTATCCCTTGATGGCGAAAGATGTGCGGAGGGTGCAAAGGAAAGTACTGAGTTTTATATGGGGATATGGTTGTCATTGGCTGCGGCAGACGGTTGTGATGACATCGCTGGTGATGAGGGGTTTAGGATTAATTCCTTTGGGTAGCAGACTGAAGAGCATGTATGTGAAGCATTATCTGCAGTTGGGTGGGGAACGTGGTGTCAGAGTGAGGGATGTGATGGAAGACGTGCAGTGGTGGTGGTGGGGGGGTAGGTACTTAGAGGAGTGCATGAATATGTTGAGATACTTATTACAGGTAAGAATTCCGGAAAATGTGTCGGCATGTGTTTTGGGGATTTTGGAAAGGTGTAATGAGGTGGTGGAGGGGGAGAGCGTTTTTCCCTTACATAATTGGAAACACATCTGGGGAGCATTCCGTAAGTTATGGTTGAAGTCAAGGGTGAGGGAAACTATGTATAGGTTTTTACATGGGATTTTGCCAACTAAAATAAGACTGTATCAGATGCGAATTTTGCAGTCTCCATGTTGTGTTTTGTGTGTGTGTGGGGGGGGGGGGAGGAAACAGCATATCATGTGGTGTATTTCTGTCTATGGTTTCACAGAGTCTTGGGTATGGTTGGTGGGAGTAGGTTAGTGGTACTAAGGGCATTGAGTTTGGATATCGAAGGAGTGGGAGACAGTGTAAGGAAGGCTGTAATGTATTTAGTGGCGGATTATATTTCAATATCGTGGGCGATGAGGGAGGTGGGGGGAGGAAAGAATAAGGGCTTTAGCTGGACATTTCTATAAAACAAAGTGTAGGAATGAGGTAGTGTATAGACATAGATGTGCTATCGATTTTCCAGTATCGTATAGGGGAATGACTGTGAGAGAACTGCGCAATTTAGTGTTGTAATGGCTGGATGGACTGGTCTCTGCATAAGGGGAGGAGAAGAGTGAAACATGTGATTAGTATTGCTTGAAACTCTTGTTATTTAACACTGAATTAACTGTAGAAGTGTTTTCATGGGTTCTCAATGGGAAGAGAGAGGCGGCTTACCAAATCGATTAGGTGCTATAATGTTATATTATTTTATTTTGTGTGTAAAAGAGCAAGTCTGATAATGCTGTAAAACTTGTCAATATAATCTATATCATATTACACGCGATAATACGTGTCTACTTATATAAATATTGGTATATGTATTGTGTGAGTTTCAATATCTAGTGTAATGTTATATTAGTTGACATCTTCACTATTGTCAAGTAGTGTTGTCGTCTATATATTGTGTCCTAAGGTTTAATTATGTTAGTTATTATTTTATAAGTTAAATGAACAATTGTAAGATGTGAAGTCTAGTGCAAGTGGATGTTTTTTTCGCCCTGGGGAAAGGGGGGTGTAAGTAATAATGATTGGATCATTACATCATGTAATTGTATGTGTGTACACTGTAATTAGCAGACGAGAAGGGGTTGTGGGGATTGTTTTTATTTATATTAATTATAAAGTAAAATTAATGGAATTCTGTGTAATGGCATTACATACCTGTCAGTCGAGTGATAAGTACAATAACTAAAATATTAATGCATATTGTAGGTTTAGCGCCTCTTTTTGATTATAATAATAATACTAATGCATATTGTAATATATTTTGATTGATGTAATGTATAGTCTTGTGTAATCTTGTATTAAGCACAGGTGTGAAGGGGTATAAAGTACAGGGGATGAGGGATAGTTTGTGTCAGCACAAAGTTAAATGGGCAGTGTGTATTTCGACTAATGAAAATTTATAATTTCTGTGGAAGATCCGATACTCTGTTCTTTTATTTATTTAATGTATTGTGATGTTTTAAATAAAACTTAAAAAAAAATTCAGTGATACATCATCTTTCCACATCTTCTGTCATATACTATTTATTTGCAGGAGCAGTAGTGACGGAGCGATACTGTGGAGGCAGAGATTTCTTGGATTTTAGCAAGGATCTGGTAGACAACAAGTGCTATATGGATATTCACCAGCAGGATGGGCGCCGTACCTCTGCTACAATATGCTACTGCTCTTACAACTACTGTAATAAGGCAACTCCACAGTCCAGCTATCTTTATCCATTAGGTCTCTGCATCGTTATCACTGCTTCCTTGGTGGTTTTGTGACCAGTGCGGAGCCTAGTCTCAAAATGTGAGATAAGATATTTCTCTGCAGAGCTCAAGAACAGATAGATTATTTTCAGCATCTTTCTTAGCTGACGCTCAGTTGTTCAAAATCAGCTCGTATTCTTCAAAATACGTTGGTTTTACATTAAAACTATATTTCATATAGATATTAAGTGTAATTACGTAACTGCTAATAAGGCCATTATTTCTGGTGTGTGTGATCATGTCACCATGAATAAAATTCCCTCTTTTGTACATAGTACTGGAAATATTTATGTGATAGTTTATGTACATACAAATATTAATGTTTCATTTGAAACAAACGTACTTACAGTCATCTGAGAAAATATAAGGCAATAAATACGTACGTATGATGGAAAATTATAAAGAACCATACCACATGTAGGATATGGTCGTGTTCTTCGTAATTTTGATTCTTTGTAATTTTATGCATTTAAACCCGTATTTTACATGAAGTACTGTATGCCTAGTATAGGCAGAGAGTAGAGAAACAAAGCCAGATGTTATGAGTATCCACATCACTCAGAGTAAGTTGGTAATGTTGGTTTATTCATTAAACAAGAAAGTGTCTACTCACACTAGTCTTAAAGAACCCAGATAGAAATATGCCAGAGTTTGATGACAGTCGACTGTGTTGGGTTATCCTGGGTTACTAACCATTCGGGTTAGTAACCCAAATAAAATCTTGCATCTTTGTAAGATGATTCCCGTCAGTGATGACTGATAAACAAGTGCTGGTACATCGCTGCTCAGCATATCAGTGATTCAAAATCCTTATACAGGCGCTCAAATTTGCTACGCGGACATAAGAAGCGCCACTTCCTATATAATACTGTACTTAGAATTTAGACTAAGATTGTTTTTTAGGATTAAAAATCGCAGTTCGAAATATCTTATTCAAAGTTTAAATAATATTTTAACAAAATGCCAAAATGCTGTGATACGATTTATTTATTTGTTATTTTTCTCGTTATGTAACATTAATATGTACAGTACTCAGTACTGTAATACATGGAGTGTAAATCCTCTTCTAGTGCGATGGTATTCCTCAGAGTCAGTACATTATGTACGTTGTACTAAACATTGTTTTCAACTTCGTATTATTGTCACTTTGAAATCCATATGTAAACTATTTATAAACTTGCACAACTGTATATATATATATATATATATAATATATATATATATATATATATATATATATATATATATATATATATATATATATATCACAAAACAATCACGGGGGACGTTGAATGATAGCTCTAGTCTAGGCCTTTCGTGTTACAACCAACACATCATCAGGAGCTTCCAATGTTGCAGAAAAGAGGATGAAGTCCAAGCAAACACGTAAGACGATGTTGCATTTTTATTTTTTAAGGAAACTGGCATAAACAAGTCTAGTGGAACTACCAGGTATGTACACCTTAAGGGTTAATTAAAATATAATTAAACAAAATGAAACATAAGTAAGATACATTAGTGATGAATGTTTGATGCTGATCACAAGACACATACCATTCCCTAAATAAGATGCATCACCAATGAAGGTTTGAAGCCAATCGGAAGAGGCATTCTTTAGTTATCACACGAAAACCAATATCTCAGTTTGTTAATCATAACTGGTAAAGTGGTATTTACCTAACAAAATAACAATGTAATTCTTCCTTTGAGGCAAATACACCAGTGCTGAAAGTTTTAAATCAATAAAAAAACTTCCTTATTTTTGCAGAGAAAGCAATAAGAAAATTAACAAATTTGCATGTATGGTCTAAATCTCTGATGGATCCTCCATTAAGTAAAATGCATAAACCTATAAAAGTTGAAACAGTTCAGAAAACATCATTTCAAGTTATTGCAATGAAAGTGAATTTTTTTTTTTTTACTGAGATTGACAACCTGGTACCTACATATTCTGATAAGAATCTGAATCTTCCTCAGTAGTGGTAATAATTTGAAGTTGATCAGATGAGGTATGGAGTTATGTACTTCAGTGATACATAAGTAAATTTACAGTTTAGTGATATTATTACTCAACCAAAAGTCGTGTAAAGTATTCCGAAAAATTATTTCTAAATAATCTACATTTCAGAGAAGCGTTAATAAATTTCAATAACCAAGACATGATGTTGTTTGATGCTCTAACATTAAATAATCCAGAATGTTGTAAAAAAATACTAATGTGTAAATCTATAAATTAGTCATGATAAATAATCTGAAAAATTAAACACTTTTTTCAAGGGAGGCAAGAAGTGTCTTAGTTGTCCAGGGCGAAAAAGAAAGTGTGGTGATAGGCTGGACGGTAGGATACATCAGACTGTTGGTGTCTTGAGAATACCCATGAGACCAGCATTTGAGATTTGTCATGATTGTTTATTTTTCATTATAGTAGTTAGTTAGTTAAAGATTAGCCGGTATTCTCCCGGCCCGGGCCTTTTCCAAGTGGTGGCCCGGCCTTGGCTCCCTCTTTAGGGAGTGTCTGAGACCTAAGTCTCCCATGGGAGGAGGCACAAGCACCTACTCATCTTTGGGACCAACTGTCCCCAGGCCTAGCCACAAGCTAGGCCTCTCTGGTCTGCCATCCCCGCCACAAGGGGGCAAATGGGAATGACAGTCTTATGAGCTAAAGGCTCGGGCTCAGGCACCTACCCTACCCTAGAAGGGTTAGGCATGGTGTCGATCTTCATTATAGTAAAATTGGTGGCCATTTTCAGCAAGCTTGCCATTCGTGGCTTGCTCACCAAGTACATTTATGTAAAATTTATCATTGTCTATGCAATTTTCTCTGCATAGTGTCTTAACCGTATAGTACTTATGAATAAATGTATTTATTGAAGGCAACGTTTGTCCCGAGTGGTTTTATCAGTCCTAATACAGCGTAAACTAAAACAATATTAGCCATGTTAGGTTCAATCATAATCGTTAGTTGTAGGCGGGTCTTTCTCAAATTAAACTCATCTCGCTTCTATTTTTCCAACCAACTTTCTGCCTCACTTCACCCTCACCACGCGTCACCTGCACTGTCCACTATATAACACCTTGTTGTAGCTATCATGGGTCATTTAAATAAGACCCATGTCTGGAAGCACCTGCCCTGTTTCCGAACGACTGGACTAAATAACATCACCAGCTTGCTCTGTATTACGACTGATGAAGTCACTGGCGGCGAAACCTAAGCACCTTTATCCACATCATGCCGGTATCACCAGACTATTTACAACCGTCCAGTACTTAGTCGTTCAGGAGGGGTGCCAAGTCGTTCAGGATAGGTCTCCAGTCTTCTTAATAACATGAAATGTGGTTTATGGCATTTTATTGAGAAAACTTTTCGTGCACCATGTGAAAATTGTTGAAGTACCCCGTGGAAAAAAAAATCTTCACAGTAAAATGCCATAAACCACATACTTGTCGGTATATTCTTCCACTGATAGACATACCAATCCTCCATAATAGAAAACCAGAAGTTCAGGACAGACTGTTGTCGCCACCAAGGAACTCGCGCCATCACCTGGAAAGTATTCAGTGTATCTCTCAAAATAACAAAATATGGGAATAAACCTGGTTGTCTTCAATCAAATATTTTTTGGTTTCTTTTCAATAATCAATTTGAAATAAATATTTACAATGTATAACAATTGAGGAACATCCAGTATATGCCCATATAAAAGATTATAGATGAATGAGACACATGTGCAACACTTGGGTATCTTTATTGTGCAGACGTTCTGCGAACCACTAGCCTGATCAGTTTAATACAGGAAATAAATGGTAGAAGATATGAAAAGATTTGAGGTGGTCAGTCCCTCAACCTTGACTGGAAGTATTTTGTATCTCAGCCTTGATATCTCTGTCAAGGCTGAGGGACAGACCGCATCATTTTACCTTTTCACGTCTTTTACCATTTATTCTCTCTGGTGGATTGTTTAAATTACTGGTTAGCGAAATGTGTCAACAGTAAAGTTACCCAAGTGCTGCTCATGTGTCTTATTCATCTAGCTGTAGGTTTTAAGAACCATTAATAATTGTGACATTATGTGCCCAGCTTGAGAGGTAGTTATGAAAATCCAAACCGTTAAATCTTACACCACATGCATTTATGTACTTTAAATTCAACTGTTGTGGTGAGTTATACACCCTAAAGTGATAAACTGTGATATATTGGGGAAGGGGGGGGGGAATCAATAGTACAACATGGCATTTTTATGAATCCCAACTCAGTGAACTAGATTTTAGATTTCTAGTGTCTCCCTGATGTGTCAAAGTTCAAGAAGACTGACTCGAAATAACGAGATTTAAATTAAATAATTTGGATTTACAAAGAAAATAGAAAAGTATTAGTGAAAAATCTGCTAAGTAGAGCCATAGAAGCTAGAACCTTGGAGAAGTTTTAAAAATAGGTAAGACAAATAACCTATTCTTATGTTTTTATTACAGGAGGCAACCGGGAAATCCTTCTCAGGGTCGCCAAAATCGACAATAGTTTGGACATGAGTCAATCGATTTCTTGCATAGCTGCTCTTAAGGACTGGAGTCTCGTGGATCTTGTTCAGAGCTTGAATTTCAACACCACTGCCTCTAACATTTGTTAGTCCGAGAGAACTTGCAAGAAAATATAGGCTGTTATCAACCGGGAGATTATTTGGGCTGCTTGCATTACCATGACTTGGAAATGGTCCTGTCTGATGTCTTCATGGAGAAGTATGGGCCGTTGAGCAACCCCAGTGTATATCTTGTTCATGCAGTTGAAAGAGAAGTGGGAAATCACTGATGGATCCCGGTAGAAGCCAGTAACTGACAATGAGAATCTCATGGAAGAGTTTTCTGGTTCTTTGATAGGATTCAGAGAAAGAGTACTGAAGGACCTGAAGGCTCACTCCCGAGAAGGTAATCTTCTGTACTCTTCTTGCGAGGGTTTCTGTGTTGTTTGGTGTTTGGATGCAGGCCCCCTCTCCTAGATTGTGGTTTTGTGTCTATGGTCAGAGAGGTTGGCTTTTCTTCATGCCCTCCTTGAATACTGCCTAAGTGTCGAGCCGTGGTGATGGCCTTAGCTAATTCTTGGTGCGTGATTTTGTTCATTCTTCAAGGATAAAGGTACTTACGGATTTGTCAAGGAGCAAAGGTGGTGTTGTCTTTGCTGTGATCACTGGAGAGAACTCGCTTTGTACACAATTACCAACACAGTCTTCTGTGTTCACTTCAGAAATCTATGCAACCCTTTCTACTATTGTCTTAATAACTCTCTTAAGTGGATCTATTTTCACTGTGTACACAGATTTTTATTGTGATCTGTTTGCCCCAGCCCAGTATGCTTCTGCCCACCCTGTGGTCCAGCCGGGTCACTATCTTGAAAAGACCCGGGCCGGGACAAGACCGGCGACCCTACAACAACAACAACTGTGGTCCAAAAAATGATCCAGGAGTAGTTAGCTCGTCTCCATGCATGACGCAAATATGGAGTTCTCTTGGTTCCTGGATCATGATAGTGTCCCGGGAAATAAATGGGCAGATGCTAAGGCAAAAGCAGCTGTAATAAGATTACTCTATAGCAGAGTCTTGTTATACAGTGACTTTATGGACCATATACACATATATCCTTCTGAAGTGGCAGACTCTGTGGGTCCAAAACAAAAAAAAAACGTTATACAGGATTCAAGAGGGCAACTGTGTTTGTTCCTCCTCGTTTAACACGAATCGTCACTCTGAGACAAATCTCTGTCGCTTGAGGATTGGGCACATACATCTTACTCACAACTACGTTGTAGCAGGTGCTCCTGTCCCTCTGTGCACCTTGAATGCAGTTGACTGTGGAACACATTTTAACAGTGTTCCCATGGCTTAAGTTTTGAAACATTCATCGTGGCTTTTATAATTATCGGGGTGTCTGTGGGATTGCAGAACTTTTTAGGGGTCATTTGACGTTCAAGATTCATGAGTTTTAGCTGAAGTTGGCTGCTCCAGGTTGGTATGAAAGTATTTATTTCTGTTGTGACTTATATTTATGTTACTAATTTTACTCAAGGACAGCCACTTTCATGTTCAATTAATAAAAACGCACAAACCAGGTAATCCAGTTAGACCAATTATTAGCTCCATAGGTTCAGTTTCATATAAATTATCTAAATGACTTGTCGACATTTTGAGCCCTAGTGTTGGAAATATTTCTAACTTAATGTTAAAAACAACATAGATTTAATTGATAAATTAAGCACCTTGCCTGATTTAAATTATTTCAATACGGTTAGTTTTGATGCTACTACCTTGTTTACAAAAGTTCCAGTTGATGATTTATTAAGTTTCTTATCTGAAGAACTTATTAATCACGATTTACCATTGTCAGTTCCTACTATCATTAACGTTATTAAACTTTGCATTGTTGATGCAAAATTTGTATTTAATGATAAGTTTTATACTCAAGTTCGGTATGGCAATGGGAAATCCTCTCTCACCTGTTTTTAGTAACTTATACATGGAATTTTTTGAAACAAGACTGCTTAATACAATCCTCTTTAATAGAGCTAAATGGTTTAGATATGTTGATAATATTTCGTGTCTTATGCCTAAGAATGTAGATAAAAACCATTTCCTTGTTAAATTAAATAGCTTAGCCCATTCCATAAACTTTACTGTTGAGTTCGAAGCAAATAACTCATTGCCTTTTCTAGATGTTTTAATTATTAAGGATAACAATGACTTTAAATTTAAAATTTACAAAAAACCTACAAATAACTGTTCCTATGTACACTTATTCTTCACATCAAGATAGACTTAAACTGTCGGTTTTCTCATCAATGTTTTTGAGAGCTTTACATGTTTGTAGTCCAGAATTCATAGATGAAGAAATATCCAAAATTTATGAAATAGCTAGTGATCTGAAATACCCAAGAAACGTAATTCATAAATCTTTTAAAATCGCTAGAAATACTTTTTACAATCCAAAAAGGGACAACCAGCCTTATTCAACTAAAAATATGTTGGTTCTCCCTTACCATGAAAACTTGGTTGATATGCCTTTTCTTCTTTAAGACTTTTAATATAAAAGTTGTATTTAAAAATCTTGATACAGTAAAAAAACTTTTGATAAAGAATTCCCCCCAAAATGCTGACGGATGTGTTTATAAGAATCCTTGTGAAATTTGCGGTAAAGTTTATTTTGGTCAAACTGGTAAAAGTCTCGAACTAACATTAAAACAACATAAATATAGCATTAGAACTGGACAAGATTCTAATGCTCTGTTTATTCATTTTAACCATCCAACTGTTTTTCAAAATGCTGAGAAAGTATATCAAGCAAATCCATTGTCGACAGGACCATGTTTCATAAAAAGCAGTTTTGAAAATAATATGAATATTTCCTTTGGTTTATATAGATTGAATTCATGTATAATTAATAAAATCTGGGAAGAATTTAATGACACATTAAACAAGTAATAAATCTTAATTCTTGGGTAGAATATTAGGTGGGTTTCACAGAGTCTGTTGTCGTCAGGCGTGTGTGAGATGTTGCTTTGTTGTGGGATGTGATGGTGAGGTGTAGTCTTGACCCTTTATATGCCTTTCTTTGATGTTTTGTTTTCATAGTTCCTTGATAATGTGAGAAGTCATGAAAGCACTTGGAATTTCACTATTCTTTCACAATAGTTGTTTTGCATATGCTGATATCACCTGTTTACGGTGATCTTATTGCATATATATATATATATATATATATATATATATATATAGGTAGTAGGTTGGTAGACAGCAACCGCCCAGGGAGGTACTACCGTCCTGCCAAGTGAGTGTAAAACGAAAGCCTGTAATTGTTTTACATGATGGTAGGATTGCTGGTGTCTTTTGTCTGTCTCATAAATATGCAAGATTACAGGTAAGTCTTGCTACTTCTACTTACACTTAGGTCACACTAAACATACATGTACAAGCATATATATACACACCCCTCTGGGTTTTCTTCTATTTTCTTTCTAATTCTTGTTCTTGTTTATTTCCTCTTATCTCCATGGGGAAGTGGAACAGAATTCTTCCTCTGTAAGCCATGCGTGTCGTAAGAGGCGACTAAAATGCCGGGAGCAAGGGGCTAGTAACCCCTTCTCCTGTATATATTACTAAATTTAAAAGGAGAAACTTCAGTTTTTTCTTTTGGGCCACCCCGCCTCGGTGGGATACGGCTGGTACGTTGAAAGAAGAATATATATATATATATATATATATATATATATATATATATATATATATGTGTGTGTGTGTGTGTGTGTGTGTCGTGCCGAATATGTAAAACTTGTCAATTAGCAAGAACTCATTTAAAATTAAGTCCTTTCTAAAATTTTCTCTTATACGTTTAAAGATATATTTTTTCATTAATGTTGATGTAAAAATTTATAATTTTGCACCAAAAGGAACTTGGAAAACTTACCTAACCTTATTATAACAAGTGCAATTTATTTTAGCCTAACCCAACTAAATATATTTTAGATTTGCTTACAGTAATTTAATACTAAACATACACAGTGAAATATATTTTTTTCGTTAGGTTCAGAATGATTTTAGCGAAATTATTGCATACACAAATTTTCATTTGTCCTATTGGCAAGATGAGCGTTGCTATTTAAGCCAAGATAGCAAGTTCTGCCTATTCGGCACGACATATATATATATATATATATATATATATATCAGATCACTTTCTAGTTGTAGCTACACTGAGAGTAAAAGGTAGATGGATACAAGGAGAATAGAAGCCAGGGAAGAGAGAGGTGAAGGTTTATAAACTAAAAGAGGAGGCAGTTAGGGTAAGATAAAAACAGCTATTGGAGGATAGATGGGCTAATGAGAGCATAGGCAATGGGGTCGAAGAGGGATGGGGTAGGTTTAAAAATGTAGTGTTAGAGTGTTCAGCAGAAGTTTGTGGTTACAGGAAAGTGGGTGCAGGAGGGAAGAGGAGCGATTGGTGGAATGATGATGTAAAGAGAGTAGTAAGGGAGAAAAAATTAGCATATGAGAAAATTTTTACAAAGTAGAAGTGATGCAAGGAAAGGGGAAGAGTATATGGAAAAAAGAGAGAGGTTAAGAGAGTGGTGAAGCAATGTAAAAAGAGAGCAAATGAGAGAGTGGGTGAGATGTTATCAACAAATTTTGTTGAAAATAAGAAAAAGTTTTGGAGTGAGATTAACAAGTTAAGAAAGCCTAGAGAACAAATGGATTTGTCAGTTAAAAATAGGAGAGGAGAGTTATTAAATGGGGAGTTAGAGGTTTGGGAAGATGGAAGGAATATTTTGAGGAATTTTTTAAATGTTTATGAAGATAGGGAAGCTGTGATTTCGTGTATAGGGCAAGGAGGAATAACATCTTGTAGGAGTGAGGAAGAGCCAGTTGTGAGTGGGGGGAAGTTCGTGAGCAGTAGGTAAAATGAAAGGGGGTAAGGCAGCCGGGGTTGATGGGATAAAGATTGAAATGTTAAAAGCAGGTGGGGATATAGTTTTGGGAGTGGTTGGTGCAATATTTAATAAATGAGGGAAGAGGGAAGGTACCTAGGATTGGCAGAGAGCATGCATAGTTCCTTTGTATAAAGGCAAAGGGGATAAAAGAGAGTGCAAAAATTATAGGGGGATAAGTCTGTTGAGTGTACCTGGTAAAGTGTAGGGGTAGAGTTATAATTGAAAGAATTAAGAGTAAGACGGAGAATAGGATAGCAGATGAACAAGGAGGCTTAGGAAAGGTAGGGGGTGTGTGGACCAGGTGTTTACAGTGAACATATAAGTGAACAGTATTTAGATAAGGTTTAAAGAGGTCTTTGTGGCATTTATGGATTTGGAAAAAGGCATATGACAGGGTGGATAGGGGGCCAATGTGGCAGATGTTGCAGGTGTATGGTGTAGGAGGTAGGTTACTGAAAACAGTGAAGAGTTTTTACGGGATAATGAGGCTCAAGTTAGAGTATGTAGGAAAGAGGGAAATTATTTCCCAGTAAAAGTAGGCCTTAGACAAGGATGTGTGATGTCACCATGGTTGTTTAATATATTTATAGATGGGGTTGTAAGAGAAGTAAATGCGAGGGTCTTGGCAAAAGGCGTAGATTAAAGGATGAAGAATCACACATAAAGTGGGAGTTATCACAGTTGCTCTTTGCTGATGACACTGTGCTCTTGGGAGATTCTGAAGAGAAGTTGCAGAGATTGGTGGATGAATTTGGTAGGGTGTGCAATAGAAGAAAATTAAAAGTGAATACAGGAAAGAGTAAGGTTATGAGGATAACAAAAAGATTAGGTGATGAAAGATTGGATATCAGATTGGAGGGAGAGAGTATGGAGGAGGTGAATGTATTCAGATATTTGGGAGTGGACGTGTCAGCGGATGGGTCTATGAAAGATGAGGTGAATCATAGAATTGATGAGGGGAAAAGGGTGAGTGGTGCACTTAGGAGTCTGTGGAGACAAAGAACTTTGTCCTTGGAGGCAAAGAGGGGAATGTATGAGAGTATAGTTTTACCAATGCTCTTATATGGGTGTGTGAGGCATGGGTGATGAATGTTGCAGCGAGGAGAAGGCTGGAGGCAGTGGAGATGTCATGTCTGAAGGCAATGTGTGGTGTGAATATAATGCAGAGAATTCGTAGTTTGGAAGTTAGGAGGAGGTGCGGGATTGCCAAAACTGTTGTCCAGAGGGCTGAGGAAGGGTTGTTGAGGTGGTTCGGACATGTAGAGAGAATGGAGCGAAACAGAGTGACTTCAAGAGTGTATCAGTCTGTAGTGGAAGGAAGGTGGGGTAGGGATCGGTCTAGGAAAGGTTGGAGGGAGGGGGTAAAGGAGGTTTTGTGTGCGGAGGGCTTGGACTTTCAGCAGGCATGCGTGAGCGTGTTTGATAGGAGTGAATGGAGACAAATGGTTTTTAATCCTTGACGTGCTGTTGGAGTGTGAGCAAAGTAACATTTATGAAGGGGTTCACGGAAACCGGCAGGCCGGACTTGAGTCCTGGAGATGGGAAGTACAGTGCCTGCACTCTGAAGGAGGGGTGTTAATGTTGCAGTTTAAAAACTGTAGTGTAAAGCACCTTCTGGCAAGACAGTGATGGAGTGAATGATGGTGAAAGTTTTCTTTTTCGGGCCACCCTGCCTTGGTGGGAATTGGCCAGTGTTATAATAAAAAAAATATATTATATATTATATATATATATATATATATATATATATTATATATATATATATATATTATATATATATATATATATATATATATATATTTTTTTATTATCACACCGGCCGATTCCCACCAAGGCAGGGTGGCCCGAAAAAGAAAAACTTTCACCATCATTCACTCCATCACTGTCTTGCCAGAAGGGTGCCTTACACTACAGTTTTTAAACTGCAACATTAACACCCCTCCTTCAGAGTGCAGGCACTGTACTTCCCATCTCCAGGACTCAAGTCCGGCCTGCCGGTTTCCCTGAATCCCTTCATAAATGTTACTTTGCTCACACTCCAACAGCACGTCAAGTATTAAAAACCATTTGTCTCCATTCACTCCTATCAAACACGCTCACGCATGCCTGCTGGAAGTCCAAGCCCCTCGCACACAAAACCTCCTTTACCCCCTCCCTCCAACCCTTCCTAGGCCGACCCCTACCCCGCCTTCCTTCCACTACAGACTGATACACTCTTGAAGTCATTCTGTTTTCGCTCCATTCTCTCTACATGTCCGAACCACCTCAACAACCCTTCCTCAGCCCTCGGACAACAGTTTTGGTAATCCCGCACCTCCTCCTAACTTCCAAACTACGAATTCTCTGCATTATATTCACACCACACATTGCCCTCAGACATGACATCTCCACTGCCTCCACCCTTCTCCTCGCTGCAACATTCATCACCCACGCTTCACACCCATATAAGAGCGTTGGTAAAACTATACTCTCATACATTCCCCTCTTTGCCTCCAAGGACAAAGTTCTTTGTCTCCACAGACTCCTAAGTGCACCACTCACTCTTTTTCCCTCATCAATTCTATGATTCACCTCATCTTTCATAGACCCCTCCGCTGACACGTCCACTCCCAAATATCTGAATACATTCACCTCCTCCATACTCTCTCCCTCCAATCTGATATTCAATCTTTCATCACCTAATCTTTTTGTTATCCTCATAACCTTACTCTTTCCTGTATTCACCTTTAATTTTCTTCTTTTGCACACCCTACCAAATTCATATATATAATATATATATATATATATATATATATATATATATATATATATTATATTATATATATATATTGTGTCGTGCCGAATAGGCAGAACTTGCGATCTTGGCTTAAATAGCAACGTTCATCTTGCCATATAGGACAAGCGAAAATTTGTATATGCAATAATTACGCCAAAATCATTCTGAACTTAACGAAAAAAATATATTTCACGCTGTTTCTAAAGTATTAAATTATTGTAAACAAATCTAAAATATATTTAGTTGGGTTAGGCTAAAATAAATTGTTCTTGTTATAATAAGGTTAGGTAAGTTTTCTAAGATTCTTTTGAAGCAAAATTAAAATTTTTTACACTAACATTAATGAAAAAAATATATCTTTAAACGTGTAAGAGAAAATTTTAGAAAGGACTTAATTTTAAATGAGTTCTTGCTAATTGACCAGTTTTACATATTCGGCACGACATATATATATATATATATATATATATATATATATATATATATATATATATATATACATATTCAAGGAATTCGCAAGAGCAGGCGAAATATACACAAAAACTGATCTCTGACCGAAGGAGACTCGAACCTACGAACCTTGGAACAAGGTACGCAGTGCTTTACCAATCTCAACACACTGGACAATACCTTGGCACCTAGCTCACGCTAGACGTTGATCCAAGGCAGCCAGCTTTCAGGGAGAAGGCTTACAGCTTTTCATCTCATCCCCTGCATGTATCGACCAACTAGAGATTTTAACAATGCAAGGAATTCGCAAGAGCAGACGAAATATATACAAACACTGCCTGGCTGCTCTTGCGAATTCCTTGCATTGTTCAAAATCTAGTTGGTCGATGCATGCAGGGGATGAGATGAGAAGCTGTAAGCTTTCTCCCTGAAAGCTGGCTGCCTCTGATCAACGTCTAGCGTGAGCTGGGCACCAAGGTATTGTCCAGTGTGTTGAGAATGGTAAAGCACCTCGTACCTTGTTCCAAGGTTCGTAGGTTCGAG